GGACCCCTAATTGTACTATAAAATGAGGTGATTAGTGTGGAGATTTGACAATTAAGGGTTTAATTGTGTAGTTAAGCTTTGATTAAGCATTGTGGTACTAGTGGACACGTGTGGAGCTATTGGTTGACTATGAGAACCCTTTTAGTGACAAAAGGATTGAGGTAACCAGATTATCTAATCTCCCTTTTTGTATGTTTGGATGGTATTGTGTTAGATTTAAAAGTAATGTTTTGGTTTGATACTAGTCTATTAATAATATGAAATTATGATTTGTGAAGTTATGTGAAGTGGAATGAAAAGTTATTTTTAATGTTATAGTTTTTGGAAAGTAAATGCTATTTTTATGTATAACTACTTGTGAAATTCTATAGTTTTAGAGAAAAGGAGCAATTGTGATAATTGCTACGTTATGAATATGTTGAATGCATTAAGCATGTTTGGTATGATCATTGTGAGAGGATGGGAGTTCACCCTAATGTGTTGTTAGGACATTGTTTGGAAATTCATATAATATATTGGTACTATGAAGGCCCTAGTGGTTAGTATTATATTATTTAGAAGTCTTAATACTACAAGTGGTAGATTGGGCATCGACACCCCTAATGTTTGTGGACAGGGGAAATCTATGGTATATAGTGGGCAAAAGCACTCTTAGGCGAGGCTACCTCCTACTAATGGTGAGCTTGGGCTCCAGTGACATGAACTTGGTCTTATCAAATTGTCAACCTACATATTTAGTCGGAAGACATAAGGAAGGTATAAAGTGATATGTTAATCATGCATATCATACTTTAACCATATATTTGGATTTATGAAACATGTTATATGATTTACTATGCCACTTCACATACGCACAAACTGTTCTTACACACGAATAGTTGATTAAACTATTTGGTTATTGAGTCCTCGACTCATCCCGTGGTTACATTTTACAAGTGAAAGCTCCAATGGGGGTAAGGGAAAGGAAGGCGTAACTGAGTATCAAGGGGATTGGCTCTCGGTTATATAGTCCCTTTACTTATTTTGGTTTGTAACGAATGGTTGAATGCATATGCCAACTTAGGACACATATAATTTTGTGATACACTTACATGAATTATGTTGTGAACTGTGGGTATCTCGGCCTAGGTTTGTTATATCTATGTTGTAATAGTTGTGAGAGGTCAAGATACTAGTGTAAGTGTTAATTTTGTATTGATTTATGTGATAGATTGACCATTAGATTGTTTATGAGAAATTGTTACCCCTAGTGAAATTTATGTTAAAAATGGGGTTTTAGTGGCCAATTCTTGTCTAGGTTGTTATTGTTGTGATTTAAATACTTGAACAGGTTATTTGTGGTCCATTTAAGTTGGTTCAAGTGGTTTCATAGTTATTGGCACTTAGTTCATGAGTTTGGGTACCTTAGTTGTGATTTTTAAAAGAAAATGGGCCACTTTGGGTTCGAGTGTCCAAATCTCATTTGGCTTAGTGTTTGGGTGTGGGACCGGCGCCAATAGCTAGGTGGCTTTAAGAGCTTTGTGTGAATATTTGAATCACTCAAATCGGACGTCGGACAACGAAATAGCATGCTTCGAAAGTTAGTCCGAAGAGCTGTCATATAGTAGTTTACTGTCATGACAGTGGTTGCATGCCGCAGTGTATTGTCCATTGCACAGCAATACAAGGCATAAAGAGGGGGTGTTTCCCTTTGTGCAGTCTGCCGTGGCAGACGATGCATTACGCCACAGCGCATTGTGCCTATGTGGCTATATATATTGTTGCTTAATTTGTAGCATGATGAATTTCTTATACTTTTGTTGTCTAATTTAATTAGTTTTAAACTATAATTTGAGTTCAAATGATCTTTTAAAAAGGGTTTTCTCAGGATCCAATTTTTTTTGAAATATTCTTTAGGGTTATGATAACTAATTATGTGATTAATGAAATCTCAGTTATCATAATGTTATTTCATGTTTGGTGTTTTGTGTATTTGGTAATGTTAGAGATAATGTTACAACAAACAAGTCTGAGGCACTGCATATTTTATAATATGCCATGATGTTCTGTTTCCCTTTTTGCAAGCCCTTAATCTCCAATTGTAACTACTTTTATAATTTATACATCGATATTCTTCATAATTATCACTTAAATGAAACACCTTGAATGTGTGATGAACTTGAATAGAGTATAATTTGGTTACACGTCTTGGCGTGATAATATTATTAAACACTTGACTGATGAAAAACTCTTGGCCATCATCATTGGGAGGTAAAAGATCTTCCATTCCACTAAACTTAGGAGTCGCTGCTGACTCTATATTAATTCATGAGAAGAAAGTTGAGGCAGCATCTTCATTGTTCTCTTCAAAGGCTTCATCATTATCATGGTCACCACTACCATTTACATAAAAATCATACTCATACTCATCTTCATCTTCAAAATCATCCATAATATCTTCAAACGAAGTTTGTGAAGAAGATGGTACACTATTATTACTAACATCAAGGCAAGGTGGATCAAACGGATGAAAATGTTCAAAGTGCAAGCTAAGCCTTCTTCCATTAGATCTATGTGATTGCTACTTGATGGAAATGAAGATCTAACAAAGTCCTCTAATGGTTGCGATTCAGAGAGGTCATTAACTACTTTTGAAATGTGTGCATATAGCTCTGGCCCCGTTAATTGATTTGAATATCACAAATTTATATGCTACATTTGTTCTGTGTCAAAATCATTCCACAACTTACATGCCCGATATCTTGGCAGATTTATGGCTATTGAATATCTATATACTAGATTAGACACAATTTGATTGGAAGGAAGCTCTAGTATTTGTCCAACATCTTGCTTTAGTTAGGCTAAAGTAATATTTCCATCAATCCTCCTTATTTTCATAGCATCAGATTAAAATGTCACACCATATGAATCATTGAAAATTCAACCATTTGCATATATGCCCACTAACTCTTTTCTATTGTCCATTTTCCCTATATATTAAGCAACTTTTTTATTAATCAAATGAATATCAAGGCACCAAAAAAAATCTAATCCCTTCACAATAAATCAAGAATCAAAGCATTTTCTTAATAACATTCAAGCACCTAGATTTTAACACATGATTAATTTATTTATTTATAAAATTATGACAATAATTTATTTCATTTTCCTCTAAAATTATGTTTATATTTTTTACCTTAATAATGATTAAAGGCTAAATCATCATTAAACAATTAAAATGTTTTTGAAAAATAATTTTTTTAAATACTATTTCATAATTAATTAGATAAGTTTCTTGTATATTTAAACTAAACAATTTAAATTCCTTAAAAGAAGTCACTTGTAAAAACTATATTGTTTTCACCTTAAGAATAATTAGAGACTCTAGTATCGTTAAGGACAAGTTTAAAGACGTATCATTTATATCTCGTAATTAATTAGAAAACCATCTTTATATATCTAAACTAACATATCGATATTTAAAAAAAATATAAATAATGACTTTATATTTGTTTGACCAGCAATTAATGATTGTGTTTAAACAAAAGCATTATTAATAAATAAATAATGACAACCTTTTTCATACAAATAATTATAACGGTTTTTTATTTATATAAATTATATTGATGATATTTCTTTGGAATTATTAACAATAAAACTTGACAAATAGTATGATTCATATATAATATTATGCATAACATTTTATAAAAAGTTATCTTTTTTTTTTTTCAATTTCACGTCATATTAAAACTTTATATTTATTTATTACACACAACTTTTGATATATTTGGTTTTTTCTTATAAATTTTGTATTACTGACATTTAATTATATTGTAAGTATTGCAAATATAGTTTCTTATATAGTATTTAACTTAGCAGTGGCTGTGTTAAAATAAAGGTCTTGTTATCAGACCAATTGATCAACTCATATTGAAGCATCACGTAAACACGATTCAAGCAAGTTTAAAGGACTAACTCTTGAGTTTTGACAAATGAAAAACAGTAGCGTTTTTATAACTAAGTTGAGTAGATAATATTACCTGAAAATGTAAATTCCACAGCTTTAATGAGTTGAATCACATTTTTGTCAACAATGCAAGGCTATAATAAGATAAATATTTACATGCATAAAAAATTCTAAATATACATAAAAAATAAAACATTTTTTATTATAAACAAAATATTAAATCATATGATAGATGTGCTTACCTTTTTAAATTTGATGTCAAAATGAGAAAGATTTTTGAGAGTTAAGGAGAGACATATTCTAACAAAATATTAACTCATGTATCGGTTGGGCAACCTATATTTATTTTTCAGAGCTTCTTAACTATGGATGCACATGGTAAGAAACAGGGAGAAAAAAAAAAGTATGCATGCTAATAAACAATACACAACTATAATCTACTCCACGGAATCTGCTCAATTTAAGACTTGACACTAGCACATGTAGTGTCATATCTTGCAGTGTGATGTCATATCTTAATAGCAACATTTTAAAAAGTAAAGTTGGTGTCGCAAAAATTATTTTTGGATAAATTCTCTTACTTATAACTCGGAAATGTAAAGGCCAAGTAAGAGTACATGTGGTCAAATTGGTGTGTTAGAAACTGTTTTTCACTGTCAACAATCCATACTATTTTCTTTTATTTTCTTGGCCTGAATACTTTGCACCTTTCACTTTTTTGACACAAAAAAAATTAGGAGTACGTGAAGGCCTTTGTTTTGTTTTTGGCTTGAATATTCTATTCTACTTTTACTCTTTTGACTAAAAGAAATAGGAGCACGCGAAGGAAAGAGACAAAATAAAGCCGGGAAGATTCTAAACTGTCTGAACTTGGTAGGATAGAAACCGACTTTTGCATGTATGTGACTAAAGAGAAAATTTGAGACTTGTTATCTATCCAACCAAGTTTTAATTTATAATATCTCGATACATATTTTTAAAAGTGTAGTATTTTAATATATACATATATATATATATATATATATATTGGCAACATGATGGTCAATTTGCGGTTCATTAATTTTATGGGGACGCCCCTACAACCGGCAATTCCACGACGGGACAATCTCCTGATCTCCTCACAACTTTCTCGTCAGTCTCCCCACATCCGACTCTGTGTTCCTCATCCCCTTCAATCCAATACTGCGAGGCCATTTTACAACCCGTTCGATTCCACTGTATGGCTTTGCCATCTGAATCGCATCGTAGCCACAACGACGACGTCTCCAAGTTCCTTCAATCCACTGCTTCCAGCTTCGTTTCTCTCTTCAACCCTCCAAAATTCTCACCTTCGCCTCGACAGCCACCTTCTTCCTCAGTTTCGCACTCTAGAATCTGCTTCCCTTTCCTGTTCGCCGACTCCCCTAAACCTCATCTCGACTCCACTCACTATGACTCGCTCTCCTCATCCAATTCCCCAATGAAGGGGGTGTCATCGGTGGCCGAGTCCAACTCGGGATTTCCGTCTACTGCGAGGGTTTCAGGGTTGAATTACAGTCGAAAGGGTGGTGGACCCGCCTTCGTGGGTCAGGTATTCAGCATGTGTGATCTCTCTGGCACTGGTCTTATGGCTGTGTCTACCCACTTTGATATCCCCTTTATCTCCAAGAGGTTTGTGCTTATTTGTACATAAATACGGCGTAATATCTGTGTTGGTTATTGTTTCTGTTGTTGGAAGTTTTGAGATTATGGATTCAAATTGCCACTTTTGTGCGTTTGAAATGCTCTCTATGTGAAGAATTTGACTGTGACCAAAATTGGAATATATTCGCATGATTTATTTGGTCTGTTTATTTACCTACTTTATTGAAACCGTCTACAAAACAGTTGTGGGATCGCATTTTGATGTGTCCTGTCAAGCGGGAAAAAATTATGTTTTATCCCTGAACTATAATGTTACAACGTTTGAACTATAATTAAAATATAAGAATCAGGAAACCAAGTTGTCAACAATGGTTAGACAGCGCTTAACATTCAAAAGACTTGACTCTAACGATTAAAAGAATCCATTTTTTGACATTTTTATTTTGGGAACATCTTTTTAACCGTTATCTTCTATTTGCAGAACCCCTGAGTGGCTGAAAAAAATGTTTGCGACAATCACCAAGAGTGAAAGAAATGGCCCTGTATTTCGATTTTTTATTGATCTAGGAGATGCAGGTTAGTTCTAAAGCATCTTCCCTTTTATGGCCTTCGCATAAACTTACAACTTTATTGAGCTTTTCACCTGCTTCAAGCATTCAAGGTCACCTTTACTGAAGTCCCTGGTGTAAATCTTGTATATATCTTGGTTAATATTTTGCTGATGATATTATCTATCATTGTTTATTCTCTTTCATTGTATGATGGCAATGCAATTTTATCTGGCTTCCTCCTGTATACTTTACATGCCAGCTAAATACATGCTTGATTGTAATTTCAGGTGCTTGTTTGACAATTTTTAACTCTATGTTCTCTTCATCTCAGTTTCTCTCCACTTTGTTTTGTTAGGTCAAAACGTATCTAGTGAGTTATTAGTTACTTGTTGAATACTGATTTCCTTCATGGTCCCTTAGTTTCATATGTCAAAAGGTTGAATATTCCAAGTGGTGTGGTGGGTGCTTGTCGACTTGATCTAGCATACGATCATTTCAAGGTATTACTGACTTTTTATATTGCTTTGATGCCAGGAATGGATGATTTAAATTCTGGATGGGATATTTCTTTCAGCTTATTTTCTTTGTCATCTCTGAATTCCTTTCCCTACTTATTATTGCCCTTTGCTGCGTTGAAAATTTATGTTTGACTATACTGATTTGTAAATGCTATCTATTCCCATGGCAAATCAGCGGCTCTAATGTTTCCATCTATATACTTTGCATTACTTATAAGGTTTGATATATGAGTTGGGGCTCTTAAAAAGCCTTCTTGTCATATGGTTAGTATCCGTTAGCATCCATTGTGGTTTGTCCAAATCTATTGAATGTAGTGATGATGGAGCTAACAAAGGTTAGTCTAGTTAGTAGGATTTGATCTATAATCTATAAGGTTGTAGGTTCAAATCGCATTGCCGATTTAAGGACTTTATTGATGAGTAATTTGTATGTATTTATGTAAGCGTTTTTTGAGTTTGGAGGTATCCTAGTGAATTTCCAAAACCCAACTCATCTAAACTTTGCTATTAAAAGAAGTACAGTGATAATGGACTTGTGGTAAATAAAGGTTAATAAAAATGTTGGTTTTAATTTGAATTGTATGATATGATGCAGTAAATTGATTGTTTGTTATTGGCAGAGTTTGTAGTTCTTTCTTTTGGTAAACCATTGTGTTGAAGTGTATCATCAATTTAAGAACTGCTTTTATGGAAATAAGACTAAATGTAGATGGATCCCATCAACTTTAGGTTTTATGCCGGAATTCTTTGTGCAAGTACATTTATGGTTATGTATTCTGTTATTGATTTGGTTGTTAAGACTTAAGACAGTAATACTTGCAACTGTCAAATCTCAGTCAAGATCACTATATGGAATTTGTCAGTTATTCTTCATGTTATTCCTGTATGTTTGGGTTTATTTATTTATTTTTTGACATCTCTCATTTATGTATAATGCAGGAAAAGCCTCACTTGTTCCAATTTGTCCCAAATGAGAAGCAGGTATAGTTTTCATTACATAGTTAAGCATCTTTAATAGTTTTATTTGCTTTTATTATTTAATGTTGGCATTATTTTTCTTCAGGTCAAAGCAGCTAATAAGCTTCTAAGGACAATGCCACAAAATGGCATAGGCAATAAGGTTGATGGGGTGCCTGTTTTTAGTGCACAGAACTTAGATATTGCAATAGCAACTATGGATGGAATTAAATGGTGTGTTTTTTCTTTTTTTCTCAACCTTCCTCATTATATTTGGCATCAGTTTAATTTTCACAAAATTCGCTTATATCATGTAGATGTCCATCAAATGAAAATGAGTTTCTATTGTATGGGTTTATTTGATTTTTCATAGTTCTGTAATTGGTAATTTCTTTTTAATTTGTTTTCTTCTCAATTGTAATTTTATTTCCTTCACTGTTGATTAATAGTACGTGCTTTAGATTAGCCTTGAAATTTAGTTTTTTACTTCTATGGGCTTCTTATCCTGTGGTAATTTCTAGTTGTCTTTATTCCTTTTCATCTTTCATGGTACTTCTTCCATCTATTGTGGTTTGACTGAGCATTTATTCTAGGAATATCTGTTTATTATTATTTGTATATAGTCCAAATTTGTAGGAATTGTGATAGAGTACCAAGTAGTACGGGATGATGGGTGATGTGGGGGAGTTTGAGATATTAGGAACAATTATTATTTTCAAGTTATTTTAGATATTATCTGTTTAATAATATTTTTTTTTAGATTATTTTTCTGTTTTGTTGAGTGGTCCTTAAGTTTAGAAGCAATGGGTTATCGTACTTGGTGATTAAGTTAGAGTTTATATTTATTTATTTTTCAGGTAGTTATTCCCCATTCTTTTAGTTATGGATTAACAGGAGTATTTTTAGGAATTATTAGTTATTTTTCTGTCTATAAATATTGAGGCACATGTCATGAAGAAAGCATCTGAAAATAAAATCATTATTTTTATAAGTGGAGATTCTCCTTTGGCTTTATTGGTTGTATGCATTTAAAATTCTTGCTCATCTTCTATTAAAGATTTTCCTTCATCTTTATTAATTTATGACGTTTGATTTTGATTTCAAAGCCATACATTTTAAAGCCATACATTTGTGTAATAATGAGGAAAATTGGGAGAGGTACCGTATGGTTAAGAAGGAAACTAAGAGAGCTGTGGGTGAAGCTCGTTCTAAAGCTTTTGAAGAATTTTATAAGAGCCTTGAGACGAAGGAAGGAGAGCGAAATATTTATAAGATTGCCAAGAGTAGGGAAAGAAAATCAAGAGATCTAGAACAGGTAAGGTGTATTAAGGATGAAGAGGGAAGAATTTTAGTTACAGATGATGAAATTAAAAATAGATGAGAGACTTACTTTTCTAAACTTTTCAACGATGGAGAGGGTTTATCTAGTAACTTGGAGGATTTAGTAACTGGTGAAGGAGAACAAAATTTGTCATTGTATCGAATAATACGTAATAAGGAGGTAAAGAAAGCTCTTAAGAAAATGGCAAATGGTAGAGTCAATGGACCTGATTGTATATCTATCGAAGTGTGGAAATGTTTAGGTGAAGAAGGGGTGAGATGGTTAACTAAGTTAGTTAATGTGATTTTACGGTCCAAGAAAATGCCTGATGAGTGGAGGAGAAGTACATTAATTCCTATTTATAAAAATAAAGGAGATATTCAGAATTGTACTAACTATAGAGGGATTAAACTCATGAGCCACACAATGAAATTGTGGGAGAAAGTAATTGAGCACAGGTTGAAATTGGAGACAAGTATTTCTGAGACTCAGTTTGGTTTTATGCCAGGTAGATCAACTACAGAGGCGATTTATCTACTAAGGGGATTAATGGAAAAGTATCGTTGTAAAGATAAAGATCTACACATGGTTTTTGTTGATTTGGAAAAAGCTTATGACCGTATACCAAGAGAAGTGCTTTGGAAAGCGTTAGAAAAAAAGGGAGTACGGATTGCTTATATTAAAGCCATATAAGATATGTATGAGGGGGTAAAAACTAGTATAAGAACGCCTAGTGGTCAAACAAAAGATTTTCCTATAAAGATTGGACTACATCAGGGATCATTTCTGAGCCCTTATTTGTTCAACTTGATCTTAAATATTTTGACGGAACATATTCAAGGGGAAGTTCCGAAATGTATGCTCTTCGCCGATGATATAGTTCTTATAGCAGAGACAAGAGAAGAGGTTAATTGCAAACTTGAGTTATGGAGGAGGACATTGGAGTCGAAAGGTTTTCGTCTGAGTAGAAGTAAGACGGAATATTTATATTGTAAATTTGGTAAAGGACTATTTGACAATAATTTGGAAGTGAAATTGGGAGATCAAATTATATCTCAAGTGGAAAAGTTTAGATATTTGGGAGCCATTATTCAAAATGATGGCGAAATCAGTGGAGATATTTCACATAGAATTCAAGTTGGATGGTTTAATTGGAGAAAAACTAAAGGAGTTATTTGCGACCGTAAGGTGCCTAATAAACTTAAAGGAAAGTTTTATCGCACTGCTATCAGACCGGCAATGTTATATAGTAGTGAATGTTGGGCTCTAACGGGACAACAAGGGCATAAAATTGGAGTAGCAGAGATGAGAATGTTACAATGGATGTGCGGACATACACGTAAAGATAAAATTCGAAATGAGCACGTACGCGAAAAAGTGAGGGTGGCACCTATTGAGGAAAAAATGGTAGAAAATCGATTGAGATGGTTTGGGCATGTACAAAGAAGACCAAGGGAGGCACCAGTGAGAAGAGTGAAAAATATAACTTTGAGTCCGATTAAGAGAGGTAGAGGAAGGCCTAAGAGAATACTCTTGGAAGTTATTGAACGCGATCTCTTAATTAATAATATTCCTAAAAGCTTGATAAATGATAGAGCACAATGGCGTCTTGCAATTCATGTAGCCGACCCCACTTAGTGGGATAAAGGCTTGTTGTTGTTGTTGTTTTTGCTTGATTTTGATTTCATATTTTAATATAAATTTATCTTCTTTATTTCTCTCTACCTATTTGGGATTCTATCATTTGGTATTAGAGCTGTTTTATTTGAAGATGGCACTTACCGATTCTATTGCCCTTCTTGATGAATCCACACCCTCCTCCTTCCCATCATACACTTCCTCCACTAGTTATAGATCATTACGGCAATCTTATATCATATCTTGTCTTGACATTATTAATGGTGAACTTGGCTTGAAAACCCAAGTGAGTAATTCTCAAACCCAACAGCCCAGCAATGTTCCCACTGTTAAAGGCAAAGCTAGCCACATTGGCGTAGGAGTTAGGAGAGACGTCAAAATCCGTAAATTTGGAGTCAAGAAACCCATGTCAGTTTATAAAGCCATGAATTTGGTTTTAGAATTTGAAGGGAAGTCACAACACATTCGCAGGCCCAATTCACAGAGCCAATTCAACGAGAATAGAGCTCGTTTGACTGGGTCTTCAGTACCCACACATGACAGCAGAGGCCTTCAGAGCTCTAAGCTTCTATTATAAAACCCAGTTTGTCCTAGAGCTTGAATGTCAGTGTTGTCATGATAAAGGTCTCTGATTTCCATCCGGAGTTACCTTTAAACTTGGACAATTCTGCAAGTCATCTTTTTCTCTTTGTGAAATTATTGAAGATGGCATGAAACTCATCTCTCCTCTAGAAGAGGACGCTGAAGCTGAAACCAAGCTAGAAAGTGCCGAAAATTCCATCATTGTAGTTTTGAGGAGGACTGCTACAGCAATGATGAAGCTTCAGGGAACCCTCTTCAAGATTTTGCACTTGGCAGTTAGCAGGTCTATACAAGATAGCTATTGTCTCGCCTTGAGAAGGCAGATTCCCAAGGGGGGAGTATTGATAGAGTGCAGAAGTATGGGATAAAAGGGTGTGTGGGGTAGTTGGAGATATATTAAGAACAATTATTATTTTTCAAGTTATTTTAGATGTTATCTGTTTGATAATTTTTTTTAGATTATTTTTCGGCTTTGTTGAGTGGTCCTTAAGTTTGGGAGTAGTGGGTTGTGGACTCATGGTATTTGGAGATTAAGTTAGAATTTATGTTTATTTATTTATTTTTCAAGTAGTTATTCCCCATTATCTTAGTTATGGATTAATGGGAGTATTTTTAGAAATTATTAGTTATTTTTTTGTCTTCCTTATTTCTCTCTACCTATTTGGGATACTATCAAATTGCATATCGGGTACAATTATAGGCATTTATGCTTTCCTGATTCCTCTCTGTTTCTGTTTATATCTCTCCTTCTCTATCATGTATATATCTTGAACAGCTTAATGGAATGAATAGAGTTTTTGGTCACCCAAATCCACATCTACTAGCAGCCTAGTTATTATTCAGTGTTATCATGTCTGTTATCTATCAGTACAATATAATAGAATATATTATTCTTGCAATCTTACTCTTTGTTCCATCAGGTACACTCCTTACTTCTTCGATAAAAAAATTCTTGATAACATTCTTGAAGAATCTGTTGATCAACATTTCCATGCTTTAATCCAAACTCGGCACATGCAGCGCCGGAGGGATGTGATTGATGACAACTTGACAGCAGAAGTGATTGAGGAGATGGGAGATAGTTTATTGGAGCCTCTAGAAGTATGACTAAATTCATATACATTTTTTTTGTCTTTATTTCATTCTCCTATGAATACTAGTTGAAGAAAATATATTCCATTTCTTTGTGATTTTCTCAGAGTTAATTTATTTTCTATGTTATAGAAAAATTAATTCAGTTATATCTAGGTACTTACAATGTTTAGACTTATTTATCTTCTAAAATTGAGTTCATATGTCGGATGTTCCTTGCAGGTTCAGGAAGTGCTAGGCGAAGTGGGCCCTCCTAGTATACCATTAAATGTTATTTCGAAGGCTGTGGAAATTCAATTCCATTATACTATTGATAAGGTTCTACTTGGTAACAGGTGGTTGCGGAAAGCAACTGGCATACAGCCAAAATTTCCATATATGGTTGACTCATTTGAGAAAAGGTACAGTACATGCTATTCTTTGTCCTTTTGAACTGATTTTTAAATGTTCCAACTTGTGGTTTGGGCACTCTTTCTGTTAGACTAGTGGTTTCTATGCCCCATTCCTTTCTTAAAACATGACAAAGTTGACACCCAGGCGTGGTTTCCCAGAGTAGAGAATGATTTTACTAGTAGAGAATGATTTTACTAATCCACATGAGTCAACTTAATGTAGAAAGGGCATTTTCCCATTTACTTCTTGATAATGCTATATGCTTCGGGTTAAGCACAATATTTGAATGAATTGTGTTGTGACTATAACTACAAAAGCTCTATCTTCTGTCCCTGCTTGGGCAAGGCCTCTCCTAGAAGGGAAAAACTTTATATTCAGTTTTCAAAAAACAGGTTGTCACATGGATTTTTTGAACACATCATTTAACCTTTTTTTTTAAATTAATCTGCCATTAACTTGAAATTTCTTTGGGAAAAAAGAAGTCAAATACTGTTTTTGCAATCCTCGTGCTCGGGCACTGCTTCTTTGTGGTCATCTCTCTTAGGCCTCCTTGAAGCATTTGTAGGCTGCAAATCCTCTATGTTGGTCCCAACCCATTTCACTGTTGGCCTACTCATATCCTGAAACTTCTCAGTTCTATCTATAGCTGTTAAAAGAAATCTCAAGCATCTCAAGTACATGGCTTCACTCTTTACCTCGGTCCTTTTTCTCTCTTTAACTGTTACTCATCTATTACAATACTCGTGCCTTCATCTATCTCCTTTATTTTATTCTTCTAGAATGATGTCTGGTTGGTAGCTTTCTTCCTGATTGGGTGAAGTCATCAGCATTGTCAGTTCTCTTTAACAGTGGAGGCAAGTGTTGGGTTATGCTGTTTTTGTGCTTTCTTGGGATGAAAATTGTTCTGCATTTTCCTGCATGTGTGTACAAACAACTGGAACAGTGATGACACTATAGATTTTGAATTTGTGAAGGCTTAAAAGAAATCACAAAGAAGTAGTGCTGATGTATTGCACAATAAGTTCCAAGTCTTCTAAAATTTTTTAAATGTTAATGAAAAATTAACAGAACAGAAAGATATTAAATATGAGTAATTTAAAAAGTCCATATGGCGACATTTTATTTGAAAACTGATCAAGTCTATAATAATTACCGAAGTTTTCTCCTTCCTAGAATTACAAGCATAAAATGGATGGTATGTATTGAGCCCAATGCTGAGATGGACCGGTTTATCCCCAGAGAATTGCTAAAATGCCAGTTTAGAAATGATGTGTAATGTTTTTAAAGAAAACAAGTTAAAGAGACCTCTGCAGTGGTTTGAAACTAGTGGGGCCACAGGAGAGGGGGAAAATGGAACCAAGCAGCTAACTTCTGTCTGTTTTCCTGAAGTGAAAAGTTGTGTGGGATTAGTAGCATGTTTTCAGGGAAAAGTAGCAGTCGTAGAAGGTTTATGCAAGGCTTGAGGTTTGCTTGGGAGGGTTTGTGGCCTCTGAAAAGTCAACGGGTGTCTATGTTTGCATGTCCTTCATTTTTCTAATCTCCATTGAAGAGGTTTAGCCACTCACATATCTGTTAATGTACTCCAACATCAGTATGATTTGCCATTGACAGAATAGCAATGTGATGTGATAGAAGGTGAGGAAGAGTAAGAGAGATAGGTAGAAGAGAACGAGAGAAACAGGAGAGAGAATCTGAATAGTACTTCTGAACATTAGAAAATAAATAGCGTACAACCTCTTAGGGTAAGGATGCTGTATATAGTAATGTCTAACTAACTAACATAATCCACGACCTAACTAATTCTTATATATCATATTATTTACTTAGCAATTCCCCCCTGGAACATCCTTGTCCTCATGGGTCAGAGATACGGAAATCTGAAAACTGTTCTCTGAAAATTAATTTGAGACATCCAAGTTGCTTCTTCATCTGGCAAGCCTCTCCACTGAACCAACATTTCTGTGATGAATTCTGCCCTTTCTTCCCACTCTTTATTCAGAATTTTCTCGTGGAACAACTCTTCTGGAACTTCTGGCCAATCTTCAGGGGATGCCTTTTTTTCACTGAAGGATCTGGACACAACTTAAGTAATGACACATGAAATGTATTGTGAATTCTGGATTCAGAAGGTGATTCTAGCTTGTAGGCAACCTTCCCAACTTTCCCCATCACCTTGTAAGGTCAAATACCTTGGTGCCAACTTTTGAGTGCTTCTAGGCGAGGAAGATCTGTCTATAGGGCTGTAACTTCTAGAAAACATATGCCCTACTTTTAATTCAGGTTCAGATCACTTTAAATCAGCGTTCTGCAACATTTGGTTTGTTGCCCTGTGGAGATGATGCTTTGGAACCCCAACCATTCGCTCCCTAGCTTCAAAACTTCAATCTACAGCCTCCACTATAGCTTTTCTCGGCAAGTAATGAGTGTAAATTGGTGGTTTCTGATCATAGAGCAATTCATAAGGGCTAGCTTTAATAGAAGTGTGATAGCTAGTGTCATACCAACACTCAGCCAATGGCAACCACTTGCTCCACTCCTTAGGATTCTCCCAACACAATCATCGAAGATAAGCCTCCAAACTTTGATTTAGCAATTCGGATTGCCCATCCATTTGAGGGCAGTAAGAAGAAGTACGCTTTTGCTCGACTTTAATCATTTTGAGAAACTCCTTCCAGAAATTACTAATGAACACAGGATCTCGATCACTAATGACTTCAATCAGAGCCCCATGAAATCTGTAAATATGGTCCAAGAACTCGTGAGCTAGTGTGGATGGTGAAAAAGGATAAGAAAGAGCCAAGAAATGGGCATACTTGCTCATCCTATCCACTACAACCCAAATTACCTCCTTCCCTCCAGATTTAGGGTGCCCTTTTATAAAATCCATTGTAACACTTCCAAACCTTGCTTGGAACTGGTAGTGGCTGCAATAATCCTGGAGTAGCTACCATTTCATATTTACAGCGTGCACAAGTGTCACAACCTTCATCAAAATCCTGCACATCTCAAAGGAACCTCTTCCGCCAAATAAACTCCTAATTTTCTGTTAAGTAGCTTGAATACCCGAGTGTCCACCTTGAGCACTAGCATGCAACTGTTCAAAAATGAGTTGTCTCAAAGCTGGACCTTTTCCCAGCACCAACTTACCATTCTTTCTTAGAAACTTACCATCCGAAGTATGCTTTGAGGGTGCCATTTTGCCTTTGCAACTCAGAAATTAGAGCCTTTAAATGTGGATCCAGCACCCAACTTTCTTCAAGTTTCTGTAATAATTCAGGTGAAGATGTGTCCAAGGTAATCTGCAACATTTGGAGGGCTTGAGAGCTTCTAAAGTTCATCAGCAGCTGTGTTGTCATTCCCATTCTTGTATTGTATCTCCTAGTCATACCCCATCAACTTAGCAACTCTCCTACCATCTTTTCAGTAACATCCTTTTGCATAGAACAATAGCAATATGGCTTGAGGTTGATAGGATCCATGCCTTCTTGCAAGACAATGGGGTGGTTATGACCCTCTCCAAGAGGAGGCAGACCCTTAGGCTCATCCAAAAGGCCCTTAAGTTCATCTTAAAGCTCACCACCGCTACTGGAAGTGATTCTTCTATCTGTACAGCAAACATTTGATTCTGTGGTTGACAGGTTTCAGTTAATTGGAGTAGGTAGACTTGACACCCCTCTCCATTTTTGATCTCCGTCTTACTTGAATCAACCATCTGCCACACCAATTGAGGTTGTGCCTGCAAAACACATCCTCCCATTATTCCAGAAATACATAGTAGAAGAAACATAATCCCAAAAAGAATAATGACGATTTTGACCGATTTCCAGCCCAACACAATATCATAATTCTGTATGTTCATTATCTGTAGATTTTTGGAGAAGTCTTTTCCCTACATTCGCTAGTTGAACTCCTAAACCCCATAAATTTTCAATCATTGTGCTTCTTAGCCCAACCATCATCTTCTCCATTTCATCCTAGTTTCTTTTCCAAGTCACAGTCTAGGAAGTAGGAAGTCATTGCTGCTTCCATTGTCTATCAAAATCTGAATTGGTTTCCTGCCTATGTGCCTTGAAGCCTCATGGACTTTGTCCCTACTTTCCCTTCAATAGCATAAATTGAAATCTAATGGCATTCAGGGGAGGTTTCATCATCTTGATCTTCATCACAGTGTTCTTGTATGTCGTCTTCTAAATTATCATCAAGCTCAATCAATTGCAACTGCATCTTTTGTCTCTAAGACCAATTATGGCCTCATGAATATTTTTGGTGACAATAAAAACAGGGGTTCTAGGCTATGTGTTTAGCCTCTTCTTCTAGGGTCAACTTTGGAGGGATTTTAATGCCAGAAACGAATTGCTTGATTGCAGACAAATGATAATTCTTCATGTTGGACGCTGAACTCGATGCTGTAGACATGTCTGACACTATCTTCTCTAGTTTCGGTGTGTTTTGTTGAGACCCATCATGTGTCATTGACACCTTGATCTCTTGAGGTGAGCCAAGCTTCTTGTTTCTTGAAGAGTGGGCTTTAAAAGTCTAACAGGCCTAACGTAGTTCTCCCTGAAACCTGCAAGATAGGATTGAACCAAGTAATCTTATGCTTGGTCCATTTTACATGTAATGTGATTAAATGCATTGTTGTATTCTCCAAGACTCCTTGTTTGCCGATTGCTGTAAATGCATGAGATCCTCCATCAGTGCCTTGTATGTTGGTCCAAGAAGTCGTTTGCCCTATACCTGTATGCTTGAATGGGTGATCCCACTTGGAGGCTTTTTCATCTAGATGTATACTAGCCATCTTAACCTTCCAAGCATTTGGTGTTTCATCAATCTGAAAATATCTTTCACGCTTGAGGATCCAGCCAAGAACATCAGCCCTTTGAAATCTTGCGAACTCCATTTTTGTGAGCTTGGTAGGAGTTTGATAGTCATGTTGGTCCATTCTTGGTCTGTGATGGCCAGCCCCTCCATTGGAGTTTGAGCCCCCATTGTTGCGCGACTCATCCATGGTATGGACGAGTTGGGCTACTTGAGCCATGAGTGCTTGAATTTGATTCTCCAAGGTATGAAAACGTTCATCATTTTGGTCTGTCATTTCTTAAAGCGCAGCCTGGTAACGTGGTTCAGGCATGAAAGGTAAGAGAGGGCTCTGGATATGACTGATGTGATAGAAGGTGAGGAAGAGAGAATAGAGACAGAGGAGAGAGAATCTGAATAGTACTTCTGAACATTATAAAATCAATAGCATACAACCTCTTAGGCTAAGGATGCTATATATAGTAATGTCTGACTAACTATCATAACGGCCAACCTAACTAATTCTCATATATTATATTATTTACATATCACAATGAAATTTCCAGATGCAAAAGATACTGTTAAAGGGTATGATTGATTCTTCTGCAAGGTTACTTTGAGTACTGCATGTCAGATGGAGAAGGATTTCACCAGGAAATACACTCTGGTTGTCATGTTTACATCAATGCACTGATGTATTTGTTTATATCTTTGCTTTTCTCTGGAAGCAGATTCCAGGTTATAGAATTATGTGCGTAAAACCTTTTTAGCTGTATGATGCTTTGAAATAATTGCAGTGCTTGGTGTTCATATTTCTTCTAAATGAAGTACGACAGACAATATTGAACTGCTTTTCTATGTTTGGATTTATTTAGCGAGATTCAGCAATGGAACCACAATAGTGGATTTTCATAAATTCATATATGACTATCCAGCTCTTTAAAAAGTAAATAATAAATAAAATGATTATGTGGTGGGTTTTTTCTCCCTCATCAGACATCCATTTTGCAGCTTACACCTTATTCTCTTGAGTGCACCCTTCGCATCAGGAGATTTTTCTGTTATCGTAATTATCTGGATTTTGATCATATCAATAATGCACTGATCAGTAACTTTCATGTTTGTTATCCTGCAGAAGTGAAGCTTCTTTCCTTAGAGCCTCAGAGTCAAACAACTGCCTTGCTAACTCGAAAGCAGAAGATAGCAGTAAAGAATGTGAATTCTTAGGCCCTTCTGATCACAATTTGAGAGAGAGTACTCGGGCAATCAAGGACCCTAAGCCAAAACCTTTGCTACCTTTTATTGACTGGTTTCACCACCTATGGCCAAAACATAGGCAGCAAAAGGAATTCTTGTCAAAGAAAGGTGTGAAAGAGGATCCAAAACAAAATCATTTTCTTCCAAAGATTACAATGGTTGGTATCTCTACAGAGGAATGTGGCCACATGACCAAAGGTACTTTGAAAAAGGCAATGGAGGATCTAACACGAGAGTTGGAGAAGACTGAAATTGTCGATGTGTCTGGTGGTGATAGTAGTGAGGACAAAGTAGAAGATAGGGATCCTCTGTTTGTCGCAAATGTTGGTGATTACTACTCTGGTATAGCAAGGACGGGATCTACTCGATGGATACGTGGGGAAACAACTCAGCCCCATCAACAAAGTAAGTTCTGATGACAGATATTTTACTACCCTCAAGAAATAAGAATTGAAGATCCTATTACCAACTAACGCATATAATGTATTCTTGCTAAAGAGCTGGAGATATCCCTTTTTGTATTGTCTACCATTAGCCAACAAAAATATTAACAGGATAGCATTGAGTTACACAAATTTACATCGAGCTATGTTGTAAGATGTATGTCATTGTCACTGCAATGTTGTTTAATCAGTATTTTTATTAACTTTGATTTTTGATCAATGCTGTAAATGATTGAGGAAGTCTTTCATGTCACTGTATTAACAAATATATCAATTCTGAGTTCTGACGGTTACAAAACTGGGATTTGGGTCTTTAACCACTGTGCAGGATGAAATGTATTTGCATCCGTAATCGATAACTGTGTAGCAAGGTGAAGTAAAAATAGAGATGGAGTATAAGGGTAATTATTTTCTCATAGAAATATGAATTTCACAATCTTTTAGCGTAGCAAAGAAATAAGGTCACATTTACTTACTAAAATATAATAGAATGGAATGGATTGAAAAAATAAAAGTAAAAGTAAGATGATTAAAGGAGATAGGTGAGCACATTAATGAGAGAGAGTGGTGATTTAGTTGATGAGATTAAGAATTATGATTTATGAGATTTTTAAAGGGTGTAATAATTTTCACATTTGTAATATATATTAATGAGATTTATCATATTTATCATAAGGAGAACGGTGATTTGGTTCATTTTTATATTGATTTTTTCAATTCAATTCATTCCATTATAGTCTAATAAGCAAATATGATCTAAGTGTTGAGCTGGGGGCAAAAAACCAATACTTATTCCCATATATCTCACCAGCGAGCTTTCCTGCAGCAGCATTCAGTCCTCGCGTCTCATTTGGATATCAATTTGGAATTGGGATTAAAGAGGAGTTAACCAGTACGTTCATTCAGGCAACAACAAAGTACCTTGATTGATTGGCTAAAGAAGCTAGTAGGTTTTTATTTTTTATTTTTTTTGGTTTGGGTTCTCCATGGTATAGCCACATGAATACAAAAGGATAAAACAAAAAAATCAAATGCTTGTATATCAATGAAACTCTTGCAACCAATTTTACAAATGTGTACTTTTGTCACGATTAATGATAAATCCAAAACTGTGAACCGTTTATCTGGGGAACATTTGGTGAATTGGACCAATATATTTGGACATGGGGGTCAAAATTTAAAAAACGCAGAAAAAAAAATCTTCAAAAGAATTAAATTTGAATGAAAACTATTAAAATATTCTTTTATTTAATATAGATTTGACATTAAAAAGTACCGCGGGTCTATCTCCCAAATAAACCAATCAAATTGTGACACATCATTCATATTGTAAAATATATTGTGGATCCTACGTTGATCACTTCAATTATCTTTAGACACATCACTCTCTCTTTCTTTTTTTTTAATTCAAATATTTTTATAATATATTTCAATGTTTCCTCAATAATCTATATTTTTCAAAAAATTTAACCGTATGCTCGTGAAAAGTTTCTCTAAGTAGCTTTTGTTATCTTTAATTTCCTGAAAAAAAATTCAGAGTTTTCAATTTTCTTCAAGAATCTTCATTTTTTTTGGGCACAACAGAAGCCCATTTTATTACACACACCAATCACAGAAAGCAAAAAAGAAAGAACACCTAGGATACAACCTATCAGAAAAGTAAAATCTTAAAATGCAACCTGTAAAGTAAAACCAAACCAAAAAAGCAACAGCACCTGCAAAAAAAGAAAGAATAGTCAACCAATACCTTCACGTGGCCGACCCTCAAACGCCCCACCGCTTGTCATGATCATTAATTATATCAATTTTCAATAACTCAAGCAAGTTATCATCGCTTGATTCAGAAGCATATTCATCACTTTCTTTGACATTTTATCAACATGATTCAGAAGCATATTCATCACTTTCCTTGACATTTTATCAACATCCATTTTATTTATAACTTGCTATACAATTTCAAAAAGAATAAAATCTACTTTATAAACAAACATAATGCTATTTAATTTCGGAACAAAATGACAATACTTGCATGGGCAACGCATAATCCGCTACTATAGCCTATGGTACTATGTAATAGAGATCCTTCACCTAATTGATCAACAAATATGTGCTTTAAAAGCATATATAACCATTTCCTTTCCCATCAATAGACATAGTGAGAACATTTCCCTCCAATCATATTCCCTAAATTTTTTCAAAGCTTTGACAAATATGTTAGCTTGAATGAATGCCTTTAATCTCCTCAAGAGCAATCACACACTTTGCTAGAGTATACTCATAATTAGCCTCCATACTCTTACCACCCTTATACATTTTTTCTCTTGCCTTAAAAGCTTCAAGCCATGCTGCAAGTGCTTCAACCATTTTATTTTTTCTAGACTCTTTGTTAGACTTGCACTCTTTTGTTTAAATTATGTGTTTTCTACTTGGTGTGATATGCTCCACCTCTTAAATGTCATAATCTGAACTATTCTTATCATATCTATGAACCCTATTGTAAGATATTGATTTTCTAGTTCATTTTCTTCATCATTATTTGGTGGGTCTTGGTTAGAAGAGTGATGAAGTACTGCACTTGCAATACTTTTGTTGAATGCAACTCCTTACAGCTTATAGTAGTCACATCCTTTCTTTTAAATTGAGCAGCCTTTTCATGTGCGTAAGGACCAAGGAAAGATTGTAATTATTTTATTGGTAATAAGTAACAGAGAAAATGATGGGAAATTGTATGAATGGAAGTAGCCAACATAATTCCAAATAAAATCTAAATAAATCCAAAATCTAAAACAAATCAAACAAATTTAGAAGTGACAATTTTATAATTTGTTTAAGACTTTTAGCATGAAGTAACTTATATCATGGGAATAGAATTGTAAAATATGGATTTACTTTGTTTTTAGTTTTGCTTTGCAAAAATCATTGGAGGTGTAACATCTCAAATTTTTTATTCTAGCATTGATGCTTGTT